GCGGCGTGGAGCGCGGTACGACCGCCAGAAGGGACTCTACCGGCTGGGGTCCCATGCTGCTAACCAGGTGCATCTCGAGGCGGATGCCCTACCTCGCGCGCACCACCCTACTCAACCTTCTGCCAGAAGAGTGAATGGTCACGGTGGGGCCAGGCGGTGCTCCACACACTGCTCGATGCCTGCGGCATGCACCATCCGAGGGGAGAAGCTGAGGGACGACGCGTCTGGGACCAGGCCTCCCTCCCCCCAAGCCTGGGAGGTCTGGGGCTGGCGGATCCAGCAGTCGAAGGGCGCTACAGCTACCTGGCGAGTTTCGCCCTGGAGCATGGACTCCTCGCAACTCTGCCAGGCCCCGCGGGGCTCACCTCTCCAACGCCCTGAACTGGTCCGAGGAGGTGGACCGGGACCCGAACGAGCTGCAAGCATGGCTGGGGGAGTGCAAGGCGAGCCTAACATAGGAGGGGCTGGCAGCAGAAATAGCCGCACCAAAGGGACAGCTGCAGCACCGCCTCGCCCTCCTAGTCCAGGGGGGACACAGCGCCGCACAGATAGCGGCATCATGGCGTATGGACATCAACCCCCTATGCGGTCATACCCAGTGGCTCTTATCTCTCACAGGTTACGGCACTGGCGATTGGTTGATTGCCATCCCCTATATGTCCTCCATCTGCCTCAACCCTGAACACATCTCATTCGCCTTACAATTCCGCCTGGGACTGCCGAGCTCCTCCCGAGTTGCTGCGACTGCACGGACAAAGTCGTCACAATAGACAAGCACCTCCCCAACCGCCTCCTCCGCTGCGGCACAGGGCATGGGCGGACCAACACCCACAACGAGCTGCGGGATGAATGTTTGCGGATGGCTCAGGACGTCGGGTTCATAGTGCACAAGGAGAGCACGGCGTTCAGCCCGGTCGACAACAAGAAGGCCGACCTGGCTATCCGGGACCGTAGCAGTGGAGCAGTGTGGCTGGGGACATCACCATCACGGACCCCATCAGCAAACGAGACGAGACGGCCAGGAAGGGGAGGGGATGGGCAGCAAGGGAGGCAGCGGACGAGAAGATTGGGCTATACTACGGCAGGGCAGAGTTTGCAGGCTTTTACCCATTAGCAGTTTAGACCTAGGGCTGCCCATGCAACGAGGTACCAGCTTTCCTGAAGCACCTGGCGGACAGAGCAGCACCCAAGCATTTCAACGCAGACCCCTCAACCTACCAGGCCGCAAAGCTGCTGCACCATTTCCGCCAGCGGTGGTCCGTTGCCCTGCAGAGGGCACTCCTCATCAAGCTGAACCTTGCAGCCCAGATGGAGAACCCAGCCATACGTGGGCCTGAGGGAGTCCTAGACCCAGGGGAATGCTTTGCTATCATAGATCCGGGCAATGGTAGTGTGTAGAAGACTTGGGGGGGGAGGGGGGGGGGGGGGGGGAGGTTAGGGGGGGCTAGGTAGGGTTTAGCCTTGGGCTGTCCCTGGCGGTCACGGAGAAGTGCCCCTGCAAAGGAAAACGGTCAGACATTCGGGACAGGAGCCTCCCAAACCACCTGCTGCGTTGTGCCGACGGGGGGGACCGCACGAACACCCACAACTCGCTGGTGTATGCGGCGCTGCGAATGGCCAGGGAAGGTGGGTCACCACCTTGCACGAGTCGGCGGCCTTCTCGCCTATAACCAACGAAAAGCGAGCAGACCTAGTCATCTGTGACAAGGAGTTCAACGAGACCTACGTCACCGACATGACAGTGACGGACCTCGTCCTGCAGCGGCGAGACAAGCGAGCGGTGAAGCCACCGGAGTGGGCAGCAGAGGATGCGGCAAGGGTGAAGCGGGGACTGTATGAGGGCCGACCTGGCTTTGTGGGGGTGTTCGGGATGGCGGTGGAAACATACGGGGCCTTGGCTAAGGATACCCAACGGTTCCTCCGCCTACTAGGCACTCAGGCGACAAAGATAAAGCACAGACAGGGGAGGCTGACGACAGTGGCATATAAAATCACGGCGCACTACCGATAGCGGTGGTCGGTAATGCTCCAGCGCTGCCAAGCAAATGCCCTGATGGCCAAGTTTAACATGGCACTGGAGGCAGCGCACGTACAAGCAACGGCTGACCCTGGGAACCAAGCCTCGGGGACTCGTGGCAGGTCCTCGAGGACGACCTGGCCCAGGTACTTGACCTGGGGGAGTAGAGGGCCAGGTCAACCCCTAGAGGCCCGCCTCAGCTCAGGAGGCTTTCCTCGGCTGGGCAGGACAGGAGGGGGATAAGGGCGCGGGAACTGGGCAACTGGAGGAGATGGCAAAGCTGTTACCACTCCTCGAACGAGCAGACCCCCAAGTAACTTCACTGCTGCTAACGCGCTGTATTTCCAGACGCGTAGCCTACCTCACTAGAACGACCCCACTCAACCTCCTCCCACGCAACACATGGTCCCAATGGGGCAGAGACCTCTTAGCCACGCTTCTTACTTCGTGCGGAATTCGGGTACCAACGTGTAGCACTGAGCATTCGCGAGTATGGGCGTAGGCGTCCCTCCCTTTGTCACTAGGCGGGATTGGCATTATAGATTCCTTAGTAGAAGGGGTTCACGGATTCGTGGCGAGTTTCACCCAGGCGGCGCTTTTTCTGACCTCACTCACGCTAGTGCCAGGAAATGAACTGGCACAAGTTCGAAACCACATGCTACTGCCCTGGGACGTCAACATGCCGCTACACACCTGGCTCACCGAGTGTGAAATGGCTCTGCCTACTGACCCACGGGAGCTGCTGGAAAAGGAGAGACTGGAGCGTTCAGACGTGAAGCTGCAGCACGCGCTCGTGCTAAAAGTGCAAGGGAGCAGATATGCCGTGCAAGTCCAGGAGACTAGACGCATGAAGCCGAACCCGCTCTCTGGCCACACACAGCGTATGTTCTCACTTATTGGATACGGCACGGGGGACTGTCTGACAGCAATCCCCATTGCTGCAACATGACGCATAGGACCGGTGCACATCGCCAACGCCATGCGCTTTCGGCTTGGCCTCCCTTTCTCCACGCCTAAGAACTGTGACTGCACGGAACACACCGCTATCATAGACCCGCGCCTTCCGAATCATCTCTTTCGCTGTGGCACGGGCAAACACCGCACCAACACCCATAACGAGCCACGGGACGCATGCATCAGCATGGCGCAGGATGCGGGGTTCATTGTTCATAGTGAGTCTGCCGGTTACTGCCCCATTGAGGAGCAAACGGCAGACTTCACCATGATGGACAGAAGCAGTGAGGCAGTGTACGTTTGTGACGTTACAATCACAGACCCCATAAGCACAAGGGATTCGGAGGCACAGAAAGGCAGGGAATGGGCGGCACGGGAGCAGGCTGACAAGAAGATTAAGCACTACGCCAACCGACCAGAGACGGTGGCCTTCTTTCCACTAGCCGTAGAGACGTACGTCTGCCCTTGCGCCGAGGTTCCAGTCTTCCTAAAGCTTCTAGTAGATACGGTGGCTCGGCGCTACTTCAACGCCAACTCTAAATCCTTCCAAGCCGCTAAGTTTCTGCACCAATTCAGGCAGAGGTGGCCGGTTGCCCTACAGAGAGCCCAATCAGTAGGTTACCTGCTCAAGTTAGGGGAGGCGGCAGCCGCTGAGAACCCGCCTGTGGGGGGGATAGGGCAAGAGATGTATCTGGGAGATTGTTTTGCTGTCATTAAACCTCTTCTTGATCTCTAGAGGATTTGACTGGTATGTTAGTTTAGGTTGCATGCTCGTACTTGACTATTTGCAGCGGGCAGCAGATCTTCTGGGCGACACCGTCGTAGACAAACCTGGTAGGCATAGAGGCCACGCGATCAGGCTGATCAGTCTGAAAGGGTTGGGGGCAGGCGACTGGCTTCACGCAGTGCCAATGAAAGCTGACCTTACTATCTCCCCCGGTCAGTTCTCCTTGGCCCTAGGCCTCCGCCTAGGCATGGAACTGCCAGTGGCTGAGTTCTGCCCTTGCAAACGGCGGGGCTCGACAACACTGGACAAGAGTATACCGAATCACCTCCTGCGCTGCCAAGACGGGGGGGATGCAGTCCGTACACACAATGCCCTCGTTTACACTGCGCTCCGCATGGCGAATGAGGCCGGTTTCAAGACTTTCCATGAGACCTCAGCCTTCTTGCCACCAGTCCTTAGGAAGAGGGCGGACCTAGCAATCCGGGACCAGGAATCGGGAGAGACCTGGGTGACTGATGTCACCGTGACAGACCCGCTGCTACAGAACAGGGACGTGAGAGTGTTAGAAGGAAATGCTGCCATGAGCAACAAAATGTCTGCGCTAGGATTCGAACTTGTGACCTTCAAATCTGTCATGAAAGTGTCTCAGGACATATTCAGGACAGTTTCTGCTAAGGCGGTGGTTATGGTGCACGCGAGTTTCGAACTGGAGACCTTTCGATTCAAGTGTCCTGAAAGTGTCTTGTCAGGACAGTTTGGGAACAGTTTGGGGACAGATTGGGGACAGTTTGGCGAAATCGATCTCGGGTCGCATGTGATTTGAAACTCAGCAGCGAAGTGTCGTAGTCAACGGCATTCGCACGGGATTTACAGTCGGTGGTCGACGGAATTCTTGTCGCGGAAATTATCGTCTACGGAATTCCAGTCAATGGAATTCGCTCGACGAAATTCAAGGCTCCGAATTACGTATCGACGAAATTCAACGTGCGACCCGGGTCGACACTTTCTCGTGTGCTTTTATTTTGTATTGCGTCCTAGTATAAAACCAGAGAGCACAAACCAGAAATCAACCAAGTCATTATCACTGCTATGTTTGTGTGTATCTCTGGCTGTAGTGGACCGTTTCTTGCAATCTTTGGTGCGTTGGAACCATGCGTATGAGCTCTATCGAGATGCTATAGTAGTGGAATTCTACATGGTATCAGAGCTGCGTTATCTGCGTCGATCCAACTAGCGGCTTGATTTCGTCCTCCCATCACTCCGTTCTCACGTTGGTGTGTCCGACGCTCGTTTTGAGTGCGCATGGAGTGGTTAACGAGCGTTGAGGGTCTGAATGTCCGTCAGGAGCTGGAGAAGTCCGTTCGTGAGCACCACCCTTACTTGCGTGATGAGGAGGTCGACCTCATTGTGGACGGCCGTCTACTATGCATGGTTCGAGAGCGCGCGGTGGAGAAAGCACCTACGAGTGGCCAGCAAGGAAAAACCGGTGAAGGAGGAGCTGTGCACGAGGGTCCAAGTGCTGTGGGCGTTGGCGGAGGAGCTCTTGCACCGACCATTGACACGGGAATGATCGGGGCGAGCTACGGCCAATTCAAGTTTGGAGTAGAGCACATCTCCGTGACGCCGCTGCTGGAGGGAAGGCACGATCTTACCGCGTGGGTCAGCGCGATCCGACCTCAGCACCAGTGTGCTGATTTGTGGCAGTTTTGCAACGGGACAGCACCAAGCCCGGCCCCGAACAACCCCTTGCAACGAAGGGAGTACGCAAAGGGCCAAATGCTTGCATTCATGGTGCTCAACCGATGTGTTTCTCCATCCATCCGAATGTCCATCTCTGGTTTCTCTCAGCAAGAGAAAGCTGGGCAGCTAGCATGGGCATATATCCTATCTACTTATAAAGTTCGTGATGCCCTCCACGCTTCCCTACTTCAGACCCAGTTAGCCCAACTCAGGAAGGGAGACGATGAGACAGCGGAATCCTACTGCAATAGGGCCCGCACCATCCGAGCGGAGCTGCTGACCATTAGACAGGAGGTCCACATGGCCACGTTTGCCGCTCACGTGCTGAAGGGCCTGCCACCGGAGTATGGATTTTTTCGCGAAATTTCCAGCCCTGACATGACGGTGGAACGCGTGTGCAGCGAGGTGTTGATGGAGGAGCAGACTCTCTCTATCGAACAGACTTACAAGCAGATCACCAGCGATGTATCGGCTTTCTCGGGCGCTGTCAACACCATCGTGGCTACAACGGGGGTCAACGGGAAGGAACAAAAACGGGGAAGGGAGCAGACGGACAAGAAGAAGGATGGCAAGCGGGAGAAGAAGCGAGCCACCTGCAAGGGGCGCTGCTACAACTGCAATGAGGAGGGGCACATGGCTGCCAAGTGCCCCAACAAGAAGAAAGATACAACGGCCGCGGCAGCCGCGAATGTAGCTGAAGGAGACGGGAAGGGTGTGGCGCTCGCCGTCGCGTGTTCGGCTGCAAAGTTGCTGGCCGACGACAAGGACTTGTGGTTCCTTGACTCAGGATGCTCCCAACACATGACCGGCCGCAAGGAGTGGTTCACGGTGATCCGCGACCCATCTGCAACGAAATCAGTCAAAGGGTTTGATGGTTCTATGCAAGAAGTTGCCGATGTTGGTGAGGTTTTGCTGGGTGCCACTAACGGCTTGCGCGTGACCCTACATGATGTCCTCTTTGTGCCAGGAATGAAGGCCAACTTGGTCTCCCCTGGGCAGCTCTTGGACAAGGGAGAAAAGCTGCAAACCGAGGAAGGTGTCACTCGCATCAGGAGGTCAAGTGGCTGCAACGGCACGATACCGCCATCGCCTTCACTGCCTTGACCTGAAACCGGGGCCAGCAAGGAATGGTGCAACGGCTGCAGCGGCATGCAACGGCACGGCAGCAGCAGCGGCATGCACCGATATGGCAGGTGGAGCGGCGAGCAACGGCACAGGGGCTGCATCGGCATGCAACAGCACGGCGGCTGCGAAGGCAAGCAACGGCACGGCGAAGGAGATTGCTGATGTGGTGTCAAGCAAGTCGGAAGCTAAAGATGGAGCGGCCAGCCTCAGGACGTACGCGGTGGGCTCCAAGGCAACGCCCAACCTGTGGCACGCTCGCCTTGGACACATCCACTTCGATGCCGTGAAGCGGACAGCCACGAGCGGCGGCGTGTTCGGTATGGACCTGGAGAAAGGAGGTGAGGATATGCCGTGCACCTCTTGCCACGAAGCCAAACTCACTCGTGAATCATTTTCGCTGCACGACGAGCGAGAGGAGCAGGTACTTGGGCTGGTCCATACCGACGTGTGCGGTCCATTTCAGACCCTAGCCATGGATGGAAGCAGGTACTACATTCTTTTTGTCGACCACGCCTCACGTTACAACTGGGGGAAGACGTTGAAGCTGAAAAGCGATGCGCTTGCTGCCTTCAAGCAATGGCTTCCCGAAGCTGAACGCCAAACCGGGATGACGCTGAAGGTGTTGCGGTCGGACCGGGGAGGGGAGTTTATGTCGAATGAGTTTCTGTTGCTGCTGAAGCAACGATGAATTTTACGTCAACTCTCCTGCCCCTCGACCCTCCAGCAGAACGGTGTGGCTGAACGCCGCAACTGTACGGTAACCGAGGGCATGCGTGTGACGTTGGGGCACATGGGGGTGAAAGCACACTGGTGGCACTTCGCTTTCCAGCAGTTCTTGTGGGTGGAAAACCGTGTGCACCAATCCTGTTAGAGACTAGGGACGGAGTCTATGAAGTTTATGGGTCTAAATATCACAAAATCGTTGGTCTCAATTTCTGGACAGAATCGTCACGCTCACAAGAAACGCCGTCGACGATAAACGCACCTTCAAAACTTCACTAAACTCAGATATGTTGTAGCTCTACTCCGTGGCTACACTTCCCAAGTTGAATCGTACGAAAAGGTGAAGTATTTCTTGAGTTATCAATTTCGGCGCACTAGGGGGTATGCTGCCATAGAATCTTAACTCAATCACAATTGTCTCACAATTACCACACAAGGAAGTAAGAGTAGCAATTAACCAGGTGGGAGGGAAGAGGAGGACGAGAGGGAAGGTCCCCAAGGAATCCTCAACCAAGGAAACCCCATAAGCACACCAAATCCCTTCCCTATAGGAACCCCACTTTTACTTTTGTCACTTTCCAACCCATGCCATCCACCTTGCCCAACTTGGCCACACTTGCCAACCTGGTTTGGCACATACCAACCACTTGCCAGAATCTACAGTGATGTTGACGAATTTCCCAACCCCCAAAAGTCTATACCCCTTATGGAGTCAACCCCACAACTTCCCATAGTCACCACAACCAAATATCAAAAGCATACGAACTTCCAACGTTCGTAACTTTCTTGTTCGTGCTCCGATTGAAGCGATACTTGGTTCGCCGGAAAGCTCTTGAGCAGAGGAGTCACAGCAGATATCTGCTCAAGCCAAATAACATTCACACACACTCAGAAAAACCAAACCACATCAAACACAAATTCTTGCACACGCTCACACCACGCATGCAACGCACGAACATGTGATGGGAGGCAGACAGACGTGAATGCAAGTGATAGCATCACATAAAAAACTCCCCCTCTGGCTGCCTACAATCATCCCACATGCCATAGCTCAATCATGCACCCTCAATGCACACTCATCCCAGCAAGCTTCATGCCCTTCCAATGCTCAGATTCAGCCAGGCGCTTGGTGAGAATGTCAGCCGCCTGCTGATGGGTCTTCACAATCTCCAGTCGCACCTCCTTGTCCAGGAGCCTCCTCACCCAGTGACACTTGGGCCTGATGTGCTTTGTCAGCCCATGAAGGCAGGCGTTCTTGGCAAGCTTCACTGCCGACTCATTGTCACAGAACATGATTGTCGGCTCCCTCTGACCAACTCCAATCTCCTCCAACAAACGCCTCAGCCACACCACCTCCTTTGCCCCATGATGCAGGGCCATGTACTCTGTCTCACACGAGGACTGCCCCACCTCATTCTGCTTCTTACTGCGCCAGCTCACTGCACCACCTCCAAACAGGCACACATAGCCTCCAATGCTGGTGCCATCCGCCTTCACAGAGTTGAAGCTAGCGTCAGTGTAGCAAGTCAAGAGCATCTCCCCCTTGCTCAAATCAGCTGCACCCCTCTGCAGCCTCTATCTCACAGCACTGTACTCCAAACCCACTGATGCCGTTGCACTCACATAGCGGACCAACCTCTCGGCCACTTCCAGCTGCTCATGACTGGGGCGTGAAACCACACTGGCAAGCCTGGATGTTGCGAAGGCAATGTCAGGCCGTGTGTGGTTAGCCGCATAGTTGAGTGCCCCAACCATGGAATGGAAAAGTTTCCTATCACTCTCACCCACCACCTCCTCATCAGCACAGGGCTCCACAGTGAACCCCGAAGGCAGAGGGGTGGCTGGCTTTCCTCCATCTTGCAGCCCATACTTCTCAGCCAGCCCCTCACAATACTTTCTCTGGTGCAACCTCAACACTCCCTTGTCAAGGTCCCTCTCCACATGCATCCCCAAATAGTACTTCACATCTCCCATCTTGGAGCTCTTAAACTGCATCTCCAGCATCTCCTCCACACGCTCAATCATTGCAGACGACTCAGAGAAGAGCAGGATGTCGTCCACATACACCAGGAGCATGAGAAACTGCTCCTTCTCTTGCAGCAGGAACAAGCTGTGATCACACTCACTCTTTTTGAAACCCCCAGCCAGCAGAGTCTCCTCTAACTTGTGGTACCATGCACGAGGAGCCTGCTTCAGGCCATAGATGGCCTTCTTTAGCCTGCACACCCTGCCGTCCCATCATCCAAACCCTCAAGCTGTAACATGTACAGCTCTACCAGAATGATCCCATTGAGGAAGGCGGTGGTGATGTCCATCTGCTTCACCCGCCATCCACGGTTTGCTGCCATTGCCAATGACACCCGCAGTGTTGTGCCTTTCTCCACAGGAGCATAGAGCTCGTTGAAGTCCTTTCCCTTTTTCTGCTGAAACCCCTTAGCCACAAGCCTTCACTTGTAGCGGGTCAGCGCCCCATCAGGTCCGTACTTGTGCCTAAAAATCAGCTTGGAAGAAATGGCCTTCTTCCCAGGAGGCAGCTCACACAACTCCCAAGTCTCATTCTCCAGCAGAGAGTCATACTCCTCCACACTCTGCTTCCACTTTTCAACATCGGGCCCGCTCAATGCCTCAGCTAGGGTCTTGGGCTCAGGGACGGCTGCCCAGTAGCAGTGTGCTATCTCTTCCTCATCACACTGCTCAGCCACACTTCCAGCCCTTACCACTTTTGGCTTGCCAAAGCTCGGATAGGTCAGCCGGTTAGGAGGGCGCACATCCCTCCTTGGACGGTCAGCCGGACGTGCGGCACCTTGTGGAGCATCTTGTTGCTGCTGCTGCGGCTGCTGCTGCTGCTGCTCCTCCACCTCAGGTTCTCCCCCATCCTCAGTCACCCCAAAAATCTCCTCCTCTGAGACAGTGACCTGTACTTGCCTCGAAGGCCGCTGCACCTCATCAGCCTCAATGATCAGTGGTGTAGTAGGAAGCTTCTGCTGTTGCTGCTTCCACTCCTTGTAGTACAAGGACTCAAGGAACTTCACATCCCTCGACACAGTCAGCTACTGGCTGGTCAAGTCCCAAATCAGCCAGCCCTTGTGATCCTTAGCAAGCCCCAAGTGCACACCCCATCTCCCAGAAGCTTCCAGTTTTCCCCTCTTCTCCTTAGGCACATGAAACACCACCATGCAACCGAAGGCTCTCAGCATGTTGACTGCTGGTGCACTCCCATACCACTTGGTGTAGGGGACCCACTGCTTGTCCCCCACAGTCGCCAGCACCCTGTTCTTCACAAGGGCGACCTGCCGCAGTGCAGTCACCCAAAACGGATCCGGCAGCCCTGCACGCCCAAGGAGAGTGCGAGCACATTCTTGCAGGGTCCGGTTGAACCACTCAGCCACGCCGTTCTGCTGAGGGTTGTAGGGCACTGTGAGCTAATGCTGGATCCCCTTCTTCTTCAGCACCGCCTCAAACTCATTGCCAATGAACTCTCCTCCGTTGTCGGTGCGGATCACCTTCACCTTATGTCCGCTCTCCCTTTGAGCTCTCGGCATCCACTCCTTAAGAACAGCCGCTGCCACCTCCCCCTTGGTCTTGAGAGGGTACATCCATACCGCACGCGTGTGGTCGTCCACAATCGTCAAGAAGTAGCGGCTGCCCGAGAAAGAATTGGCCCTCGTAGGGCCCACCACATCCATGTGCACAAGCGCAAGTGGTGCCTTGGCTGGTCCTGTGCTGCTGCTGAAGGGAAACTTCGTGAATTTTGTCTCAAGGCATGTAGGGCAGCTCCCAATCTCCTTTGCTGCCCCCTTCACCTCCAACCCCTTCAAGCTCCCATCCTTCACTAACTTCTACAGCATAGGAATGTTGATGTGACACAACCTCTCGTGCCACGTCTCCCAAATGGCATCACCATTCCCAGATGAAGCCTTTGCCCATGTAGCGGTTGCATCCACACCAGCAAGCACCTCACCATGTGGCTGCTGTGATTGCTGCACCTTCTTGACTGCATCCAAGGCCCCACCAATTGGTGCAATCTTCTCTCCCCCTGCAGCTACCTTAGCCGTAGCTGCAGCCGCTGTTGTTGCTAGTGGTTTCCCATTCCAAGGGATGATGGGCAGCTGCCACAGGTCCTTGATGCAGCTGCTCTTCTCCTCCAAATCCCACAGTAGCAACTTCCCAAGCTTTGCACGGCAGCTGGTTGGGCCGAATGTAACTTTGGCCTTGGTTTTCTGCAGCCGGCGCACAGAGAGGAGGTTAGCGGATAAACCTTCAACCAACAGCACATTCCCCAGCCCCACAAGCCCCCCATTAGCTCCCATAACCTTGGCATTCCCAACACCAATCACAGGGAGCAAGGCACCTGAAGCGGCAGCCACAAACTTGATCTTCCCAGGGGGTTTTACCTCGTCAAGCAAATCTGCCCGTGGGGTCATGTGACTTGTGCAACCTGAATCTATCACCCAGTGGGTGAAGGGGTGTATCACAACCTTCCCAACAGAGCCCACATCACCCTCACTCCCTTTCACATCCTCAACCATGAGGAACATCCCAGGGTCGGCTTTACCTTGTGCACCATCACCTTGTGCACCTGAACCTTGCACAGCGCCACCTCGTGCACGTTCACCACTTGGCGGCTTCATGCCTGGAGGCGCCCATCCCTCAGGCCGGCTGAAACACTTGAACCACGGGTGTCCAGCCTTCTTGCAGTACCAGCATGCACCCTCCATCGGGTGCTCCCCCTGCCTCCAGAGCTCCCATGCCCTTCATTGTAGTCACCTCGGCCTCTCCCTCTGCCAAAGCCTCTCCCACGGCCTCGGCCTCTCCCTCCCCCTCTTCCTCTGCTGCCTCCTGCAGCTCCATACCCCTCAGCAGTTTTGTTGGCAGCGCCACCTCCCATGTGGCGCCTGCGGAAGTCCTCCTGCAGGATCTGCTGCCGTAGCCACTCAGGCGTCCACTTGTCCTGCTGAACATTGAGGGTGGGGATGAGGTTGTCCCACGAGTTGTCGAGCACCGAGATGATCTTGGTG